ATCCCTCTGCAGCTTCCCTGGAGCCCCTTCAGCTCCTGCAGGTTGCTCTGAGGTCTCCACACAACCTTCTCTTCTCCAGGCTGAACATCCCAAATTCTCTCCTAGGGGAGATGCTCCAATTGTCTGATCATCTTTGTGGCCTCCTCTGGCCTTGCTCCAACAGTCTCATATCTCCTGGCATTGAGAGCACCAGAACTATGTGCAGTATTCCAGGTGTGGCCTCACCAAAGTGGAGTAGAGGGGGTTATCATCCTATGGTAACATTATCACAGAATCAGTCAGGTTGGAAAAGACCTTAGTTCACCAAATCCAATCTCTGACCTAACACCACCATTCCATCTTGATCAGAGCACTAAGTGCCATGTCTAGTCTCTCCTTAAACTCCTCCAGGGATGGTGACTCCACCACCTCCCTGGGCAGCACATCCCAGTGCCTGACAGCCCTTTCCATGGAGAAATTCCTCCTGATGGCCAACGTAAACCTCCCTGTGCAGCTTGTAACTATGTCCTCTCATCTTGCCCCTTGTTCCCTGGGAGCAGAGCCTGAGCCCACCTGGCTGCACCTCCTGGCAGGAGCTGGAGAGAGCAATGAGTTCCCCCTGAGCCTCCTGTTCCCCAGGCTGAGCCCCCACAGCTCCCTCAGCCACTCCTCATAGGACTTGTGTTCCAGTGCTTTCTCAGCTCCTTTCCCTTCCCTGGACACATCCAGCCCCTCAACATCTTGAAGTGATGACCCAGATCTAGACACAACACTCAAGTTCTCATCACATTACACAACACTAGCACAGCTTAATTACAGCTGCTTAACATGAGGCAAACACGAGTTTTTCGGGGCAATAAAACATGATGAGACACGAAAAGATGGTTCAATACTCTCTGCTAAAGAGGTTGTTCAGACAGGAGGTTAGAGGCCAAGAGAGCTCATGACTGCACAGAGGTGTGAATTATTGCACCATAATTCTCGCCCTGCAGGGCTTTGGTGCAATTAATAACTGTTTTCATGCTTTAAATACATTTTCTCACACCATAAAAAAGCAGAAATGGAAAGTAGTTGCTGATGGGAGAAGTACTGGGCACAGACTGGAGCAGCTTCCTTGGGTTTGTGCTGGTTTGAGCTGCTTTTAAGTGATTTGAGGACCTTGCTTGGCTTTAAAACTGTGTAGGCCCAAATCAAAGTTATTTCCCTTGGATATTCCAAGTTGGGAAGCAGCTCCTGTTTATTTGCAGCATCTTTTCACCACAGACTTCAGTCACACAACAAGTTCCCCACACCAAGGTACCAACTCTGAGCTGTGAATGTCTTTGTATTTAAAGCAGGAAAGAGGTGGATTTGGAAACACTTAGGTGTTTGGGGTTTGGTTTTTTTGTGTGCAGCCTAGTCCTGTGGCAAATTTAAACCTGTTCCAGTTTAATTTGGGATAACCTGGAAGCTGAAGGAAAAGAGATATCCCAGACATAAAATGCTCTTTGAGGCCTCTGATCCATAACCTACTGAAGCAGCTGGAAATGCAAGCCTTCTCTTTACTGGGAGCTGAGTTTCCCTCTTCATACTGAAACCATGCCATAAAAATGCTGTTCCAGGGATATTTTTCTCCACTTGTTATTCAAACCCTGTGAGGGTGATGCCTGGGGTTGGTCAACACAAACTGCTTTCATGTCACTATATAATGCACCATATGAACATCCCTGACTGGATTGGGACTTGTTAACCAGCCTGATGTCAAAGAGCCAATCCTTAAGAGCAAGCCCAGGGATTGGGAATACAGGTAGCAAGACAGAAAATTGATTGGGAGTTTGAACCTTCACTTAAGAAAGCCTTAATGGGATGAGGAGATTAATAACTGAGTCTCTGGGGTTGTCTGACACTGCTTCGAGCACCCCTAGGGTCATTAATAGCAAGTGCAGGTCAGGTACATGGGGTTTAGTCTCTTTCTGGATGTTACTGGACACATCCTTGGGGCATGTTATGGTTTTTAGGCAGGTGTAGTTTTGTGCATGTGTCCTTTGTTCTGAGGAGCATCAGGGAGAGCATTGCCAGCAGGGCAGGGAGGAGATTCTGCCCCTCTACTCAGCCCCAGTGAGGCACAGCTGGAATGTTGGGTCCAGTTCTGATTCCTCAGGGCCAGATCTCTAAGGTCCATTCCAAGCCCTTAACATTCCATGATTCTATGACGGCTGGGGCAAACTCTCTGTTGTGCATCTCTGATTCCCAGCATCAGCCAAACTAGTTGTGTAGCTAGAAAAGAATAGGTTGGTGGGTTTTCATATAGATTCAGTATCCCATCAGGAACTGGAATGATAGGACCAGGAGGAATGGCTTCCCACTGCCAGAGGGCAGGGACAGCTGGATGTTGGGCAGGAATTGCTCCCTGTGAGGTGCTGAGGCACTGGCACAGGTTGCCCAGAGCAGCTGTGGCTGCTCCATCCCTGGGAGTGTTCCAGGCCAAGTTGGATGGGGCTTGGATTCACATATTTCCTTGCAAAGTTTTGGCATTCAAAACAGCCTATAGGTCTCTTTTTTATTGCAGACACCAGGCAAGTGCAGCCATCTCCACCCTGGTCCTATGACCAGTCCTACCAGTACCTGGGCTCCATCGCCACCCCCTCGGTGCACCCTGCGACGCCAATATCACCTGGCAGAGCCAGTGGCATGAGCTCCCTCACCGCAGAGATCTCCAGTAGACTCTCAGGTGAGTACCTCAGTTAGTTCCCTCACACCCATGGGACAACTCCTTCACACCCTCAAGGGACAGTTCACCCACACCAAAGGGATAGTTTGGTCTGTCCCAAATCCTGGGCTGCATCCCAAGGAGTGTGGGCAGCAGGTCAAGGGAGGTGATTCACCCCCTCTGCTCTGGTGAGGTCCCATCTGGAGTGCTGCACACAGCTCTGGTGTCCTCAACATCAGAAGGACGTGGAACTGTTGTGCAAGGCCAGAGGAGGCCACAAAGCTGATCAGAGGGTTGGAGCAGCTTCCCTAGGAGAGAGTTGGGGCTGTTCAGCCTAGAGAACAGAAGGTTGTGTGGAGACCTCAGAGCAACCTGCAGAAGCTGAAGGGGCTCTAGGGAAGCTGCAGAGGGATCTGTGTTGGGAAGCTGCAGAGGGATCTGTGCTAGGAACTGCAGGGACAGGACAAGGGGAAACTGATACAAATTGAAAGAGGGAAATTTATTTTAGATCTCAGGCATAAGTT